GTTTAACCAATCTATCTACACAGTCACACAGTTTGTCTTGTTACTGTTCAAGTTAGACACATAGTCACGTAAGTCATGTGTTTGTACCATGACTGCAGTATCAGTTGAATTCTTGGGAATGAGAGTGGGAGGAGCTTTGTACCTTAAGCTGTATGATATGCAGACATGGCAGATAATTATCATTCAAGGTAATTATAATGGAACCTGTTTTTAAGCTGGTGACAAAGTGTCTCAAAGTCAGAATTACTTTTTATCATCAATTTGCTATTGTTTGAAATGCATTCATTGTAAGGGTATATGAAGAAAAACACTAATACTGAAATGAGTTAGAATTATGATTAAAGGTATTCATAACTAGGTCAAGAAGTAAGGTCATAACTCCTTTAATTTTATTAACTTTGTGATCAGATTAGGAGTAAACCGTGATCTTCAATATGTAACATTGGTTACAAGGGTGATATGACAATATATTAACATATTTAGATAAATTGTCACCATTAATTAAACACCCTTACTTATTCATGACAGAAGTAGCATTATCTTCACTTTAAATACATTTAGAGAATGAGTAGTTGGCCTTTGGCATTATTTAAGATCACAAACTAGACTCCAGAGCTAGAGAATGCACTTAAAATAAATTTGGTGGTCTATGCTGCCCTTAATTACTACCTCAGTGATTAAAATATTTTAAATTTTCGCAAAGAATTAAATGATATGACAATTTGGGTAATTTGTTCTTATAATTTAATTAGTATGCTCAGTAATTAAGCCCTCTTTGGTACATCCATTTGTGCTAAGCCAGGGACAAGGACTTTAATGATTGAGCTAAAATAATTTTATTCATTTTATCCATGTTCATTTAGCTGGATCCAGAAAGAAGTTTATTTGACCAAGGAGTAAAGACAGATGGAACTGTACAGCTTAGTGTACAGGTAATTTCTTACCAAGGTAAGAAACTTTTTTAGTGATAGTTATTTAAAAGTTTGGCTCCTGGTTTTCTGATATGATTACTCAATTTTATAAGTTTTTGGTGTATTAGGTGGTTGTCTAAATTACTTAATGTGATTTTATAGCCAAATACTTGTGCTTTTGGTTTAGTTGGTGTTTCTGACAGGGTGAAGCAGATAGTATAACATATCTCACCCAGTTTAATCATAAAGGGATATATTATACAGTATTAGACATAATATATAATATGTAGTAGTACACAGCAGAATCACAGAGAGGGCTAGAAGAACAGATTCTAGCAGGCTTCCTAAGAATGCCTCAGCTACACTGCAGAACTGGACTGCAAAGGAAGCTGCTGCCCTGCCATGATCTGGAAAACACTGCAGCTGGAAGCTACCACTGTAGCTGTCAACTTGGAACTGATGCTGCCTTTACGGTGATCCACACTAGTCAAAAAATGGATGTCCTGCCTGTTTGCCCCATCTTAACTCATTTTCAAATAGAAGACTTATACCAGTGATTCTAAGAGTCTAAATCACATCTGGAATCCTAGCTGCAGGGAAATCCAGTCTCTACAGTTTAGCACAGGGAGGAATTTGCAGCAGATGTGGAGTCACCTAGTCAGCCATATCGATCACAGTGTTTTACTAATCTTGTGTAAGTAAGTACCCAAGTTAAAAAGGAAAATTAGGAAAAACTATTTTGGGTAGATTGCATTTTAGTTTTTTAAAATGTGCCTTGTGATTTCTAGCAAGAGTTTTAGAATAATTTAGTCTCTGAACATATTATATTACTTACAATTATGTTTCACAAACCAAAGTTTTGTTCGGATGCTGAAAATGGTAATTGTCCACTTCTGATCCCTAATTCCCCAGGATTGATTACTGTTGAGAATAGGAAGAAATTTGTTGTTTTTATCTTTAAAAGCCTAGTGACTTCTTAGTACAAGTGTGTTTAAGAAGCGTTTACTTGAAGCCAAAAAAGGATGAAATTTGTATGAAGGATTAGGGACTAGATCTTAAGAAAATATTTTTTTGAAATTCTGATTATTTTTATGTATATTTGAAGAAGTGATTCTCTTTATATCACCTAATGAATGATAGTACATTTTCTTATAATATTGGTTTTCACGGATCAAAATTGAGCTTTGCTTTTTCTTTCAAATGTGCTTTAAATTTTGATGTAGATTGTAACAGACTTAGTAAGCAATAGTAGCTATTATATAACATTGTAGTTTCTTAGATTTGTCATTTTAACATTAGTATATGAGACTATTTCTTGAAGGGCTAGTTCATTCTGTTTGGAATAGATAAATAAGAGTATATCATAGAGAGTTGTGTAGACATGACTAAATAAAATAACTGCTTTTATGGCATAATTTCTTAGCTTATAATTTCTGACTCACAGGTTCAAATGTTTTGAGTGAAGAGACATTGAGGTAAATCATTTACCTCATCTTTATTTTTATTTTTTCCATAGGAATTATAATTCTTAACACCTTTATACTGGGATTCGAATATCTTTAGGATCTGAGTTTTTCCTCATTCAATTGAAAGTGAAAATCAGAATTTAATGATATGAATTTAATTTAACGAACTTGGCATCATTTTTTTTTT